CATTGACCTTTGCATTAGCTTTCCAAAGCTTTATCCACTGCACCTTCAGGGCTTCCTACATGATAACAGATATCTGAAATTAGTAACTGCTGTGGTGTCATCCTAATGAGTGGTGGCTGACCCAGACAATTGAGAATTAGAGGTAAGTTTTGTTCTGTGAGTGGACTTCATAATGCCCAATTACAGTTGTCTACCTAATAAATTCCATTCTCTCTTTAGTGCATTCCTTCAGCATTATATGTAACTGCCATAAGAGTATTCCATTGAGCTAAGTAAATATTAAAAGAAATGTTAATAAAACAAAATACATCTATTTGAAAATCTTGGAATAGTCATGTGGTCCCTGAAATTGAATTCATAGCAGTGGAAAATTGGTAAAAGTTAAACACTTTTATTGGAGCTTTAGCTGAGCCTTGCTTTGGGTTAAGTACACATGGATCATACCAAAAGCCTGACACTTTTGAGCAAAGGCATTGAATTATTAAAGGAGGCAAATTTAGATACCTGACAATTGTAGTTTAATAGTAATTGTTGTTGTTATTAAGTGCCGTCGAGTCGATTCCAACTCATAGTGACTCTGTATAGGGTTTTAAAGGAGCAGCTGGTTTGAACTGCTGACTCTGTAATCCAGTGCTTGTCATAGAGCACCACACCAGGAGTCCATAGTGGATGTCAGGTGACACTCTGAAACTTGCTTTTAAACCTGTTATTGTTGTTGTTAAGTGCCATTGAGTCCGCTCTGACTCATCGTGACCCTGTATAGGGTTTCCAAGGAGTGGCTGGTGAGTTTGAACCACCAACCTTGAGGTACAAACTGACCTTGCAGTCCAGTGCTTTATCCTAAAGTGACACACCAGGACTCCACTAATAGTAATTACATATTATTTATTGAATATAGTGAGACAGAGAATGATACTTTGTTTTGTTATATTTTAAATTTAGGAAGAACACTGCTGTTGTGCGCCATCAAGTTGATTTTGAATCACAGTTACGCTGTGGGACAGAGTAGAACTCTGCACCATACGCTTTCCTAGGCTGTACCCTTTATGGTGGAGTACTGGTGTGGCGCTGTGGGCTAATGTGGTTCAAGCTCACCAGCAGCTCCTCGGATAACCGTATACAGGGTCGCTATGGGTCGGAACTGACTCAACGGCGCGTAACAACAACAGCAAATCTTTATGGTAACAGATCAATAAGCCTTTTCTCCCTTGGAGCAGCTGGTGAGTTCAAAATGAAAACCTTCAGCTAGCATCCCAGCACTTAATCATTGTGCCACTAAGGTGTACTGTAATTGTTCGGTGCCCTCAAGTCAGTGCCGACTCACAGTGACTATGTAGGGTTTCCACGGCTGTAAATCTTTATGGGAGCAAAAGACCTCAGCTTTCTGCCAAAGAACATCTGGTGAGTTTGAACTGACAATTTGAGATTAGTAGTCCAACGCTTCTCCTACAGCTTCACCAAAGCTGAATCAAAGCATTAGGGACCATCTAATTTTCAAATTTTACAGGTAAGAAAACTTTAACAATAGCAGAATGTGATGAAATCATCCCTTATTCAAAATTCAGAACAAGAAGATCACTATTTCCCTCCCAGTAGTGACTCACATGGAGTACTGGTGTGGCGCTATAGGATAAGCCCTGGATTGCTAACCATAGGTCGAAGGTTCAAACCTACCAGTTGCTCCTCAGAGACCCTATACAGGGTTGCTATGAGTTGGGGCCGACTCAGTGGCACTTAACAACAAAAGTGAGTCACATGATTTTAAATCCCTGTGTCTATGTACCTCATGGCATTTTAATTTATTCATTGGAGAGCTGAGAGGGTCTATGTTTGGCACTCAAGAACTGGACGTAATTCAAATGTGAGTCAAGTGTGTCTAGAGGCTTTATTCACACCTAGTTTCTTTTAGTCAGCAAGCTTCCTAATGCCCTGGTTTCATGAATTTATTTTAATGGAATTAAACTTGAACAGCTCAAAGTCATAGTATTAATTTCATTCGGCTTCAATTAAAGTAAGGAGACCTGATGGTGTCGTGGTGAAAGCACTTAGCTACTTACCCAGAGGTTAGTGGTTTGAGCCTACCATCTGCTTTCTGGGAGAAAGATGTGGCAATCTGCTTCTGTAAACCTTGCAAACAGCATGGGACAGTTGTACTGTGTCATTCATGATTGCTATGAGTCAGAATCAATGACAGTCACAGTGACTCAGCAGCAGTGAGTTTGGGTTTGGTTTGGACCATTAGTGTGACTAGCTGAATCAAGCGTATTAGCTTGACAGCTGGCAGCAGTAAGCTGCATGAACAATAACAGGTATACAGGATTCTGCTGATGGACTAGTTCATGTGCACTGATGGGTTTGGATAAAAATGTCTTCTGTTGATAAGCTGGTACGGCGCTGTGGGTTAATGTGCTGGACTCCAAGGTCGGCGGCTCAAGCTCACCATTCGCTCCTTGGAAACCCTATACACGATCGCTATAGATTGGAACTGAACCGACAATGTTTAACAACATCAACAATTGATAAACTCAGGAAAATCATGAATTGTTTTAAACATTTCTGGAGTTGTTTTCAAAAATGAGATTTTAATGGAAGCTAAGGAACTCTGGTAGCGTAGTGGTTACGAATCGAGCTGCTAACCTCAGGGTCAGCAGTCCGAAACTACCAGCTGTTCTGTGGGAGAAAGATGAGGCTTTCTGCTCCTGTAAAGATTTACAGCCTTGGAAACCCTGTGCAGGGTCACTGTGAGTCGGAACTGACTCCACGGCACATAACAACAACAAGAAGTACATTTTGTGAAGATTATATTTTCCTTATGAAAATGCTGAGTAAATGTTACATAATGTTAGAACATACTGATTTTAGCATGCCTCTAATTTATATTTTACGGCTATTTATTTTCTCTGTAGAAATAGAGTTGTAGACCCTATTTGTTTTCAGAGACCTTAGGTTCTGGTCCTCATCCTAAGTGAGTGTCCATCTGTTTTCATGTGTTGAAATGTGTTTTATGGCAACAGTTTTCAGTTGTTTTGAAATCCCCATGGTCCACGATAAGTTTTTGCAAGGGCCGAGATATTTTTTTTTCTACTGGAAGTGTCAACACAGTTGACTCCCAGCTTCTGTTTGACTCTTTCCTCTCCTTGCCGCCATGGCCTGACATCATTACGCTTTGATGGCTTCTCTAACGCCTTTCTGCTTGTATTGACTCTCCTTGGTACTCTTCTTTTTAGCATACTCAGTTTTTGGTCAGCTCATCAAATAGGACAGTTTCAGCCATCAACTTTAAAGAGACTGTGTCTAGCTATGACTTTTTTTTTTTCAGACTTGCAAATTCAAATCTCTGACCCTGAACTCATTTACTAGACTGTACACTCCATGAAGGTCTTGACTGGATCTTATAATTCATTCGATCCCTATCACATATGGCTAAATGCCTAAATATCTACTAGGTAAAATTGTTGTTGTTGTAAAGTGCCGTTGAGTCAATTCTGACCCATAGCAATCCTCTATAGGGTTTCCGAGGAGCAGCTGGTGAGCTTGAACTGCTGACCCTGCAATTCAGGTGGTTTTGCAGTCTGGCGCATTAACCCATGCCAGGACTCCAGGTACAATTATATATATATATATATATATATATATTATATATGTTTTTTTTTTTTCCTAAATAAATTATTCTCCCAAACTTCAGGTTTTCTAATTAAATCTGGACTAAGAGAACTCACACCGAAAACCTTACCTCTTGCTGTTAATCAATTTTGACTTCTAGACACCTTATGGAGTACTGGTGTGTTTCTGTAGGTTAGTCACTGGACTGCTAACTGCAAGGTTGGTAGTTCAAACCCACCAGCTGCTCCTTGGAATCCCTATATCGTGCCACAATGAGTTGGAACCAACTTCATGGCACTTAGAAACAACAGGGACCCAATAGGACAGAGTAGATCTGCCCTACAGGCTGTAAATCTTTAAGGAAACAGATAGTCACATCTTTCTCCTTTTGAGTGGCTGGTGGGTTCAAACTGGTGGCTTTTCAGAGACAGTAGCCAGACATGTAATCCTTGCACCACCAGGACGTGCGCCTTTAAGCGAACTCAGTCAGCCTCATTTCCAACTTCTCTGATTATCTGTGCAGAACTCTAGTGAGTTTCTTACATTGGCTTTCCTTTTCATCTTGCTATGGTGTGGGTCTTTGGGATAAAGCACTGGACTGCAAAGTAGGCTTGAACCACAATGCTGGCAGTTCAAACTAACCAGGGTTGCTATGAGTTGAAACTGATTTGAAGGCACTCAAGAACAGCATCCAGTTGATTAAGTTCTCATCAGCTTTGATCTAGACTACAGCAGTTCTTTTTTAGTCTCCTTTATTCTGGTTGCCCTCATAAGGTCTAGCCATACTTTAGTGATTCTTAGAGATGTAAATACAGGAGAACCACCTGAACAAATCTTATCCTCACTTCCTTCCTTCCATTCCCAGCAAACTGAAATCAAACCTCTGGTAGAGAGTCCTAGGAATCTGCGTAAAGTGTTGGTTCTGATTTCATGGTTCATGTTTCAGGGGCAATTTTGGATTAGTTATCTTGCTTTTGAACTAGGTTTAGATTGCACATTTTGGCATTCAAATATCTGCACACTTGATTCTAGATCAAACTTTTTGCAGTTTTATCTCTTAATGTTGATGTTGAAGTAGTTCATAGTCCCAAGAGTGGATCCTCTCTGCCCAGGTGTCTGTACTGGGGTATATGCATGCTGTTTGTTCTTCTACCTGGGATGGTCTTCCTTCAATCTCTAATTTTTAAAATTCTACTAATTTTTCAAAGACACTCGAACATGCACATTTTCTATCATGCTTTTCTTGATCTCTGAATCCTAATTACTTTGTTGTTTGTTTTTAATTCATTTAAACCTGTTTAAAACTCTGGACCTTTCATAAAATGTTTTTGCTTGTGTTATAGTGTTTTAGGTTGAGTAGTGTATACGAGCAAAACCAGTGAAATGTAGCAAGGGAGATGCTGGTATTTAAGGAAAAGGCTCATGCAGTTGTGGCGGCTGGCAAGACCCAAATCTGTGGGTCAGGTATTAGGTTAGCAGCTTCTCTGGACTGATGAACTCAAAATCAGCAAGTCAGAGGGCAGGCTGCTTTCTCATTTCCCAGGAACCAAAGGTCAGATGATGACAAGTTGGATACAAGATCCAGAGCAAGCAGAAAAATTCTAGGTCAGTCTTAACTCGAATGGCCAAACAGAGAGTCATGACCTCTCAGTTCATTCCCAGACTTGAGGCAGTTTACAGAACCCAGCTTAAGACCAGCTTAGTACCAGGAGTGGTTATAAAGGAACAGAATTGTAAGAGTAAGTTTTCTGAAGTCTGGCTAGTTTTAAAGGCACTGGTAACTCTGCTTTATGTAGTAAAGATGGCACTACTAATGTGTGACTTGAGGTCGCAGTAGAAATACACAAACTATCACCATCACTTGATCAAATATTTGTGGAAATCAGTGTGATTCCATAGCTGATGCTTTTCCGTAATTTTGTCAGATTGAGAAGTATGAGCTTTAGTCAAAAAGAATTGATACAAAATCAGAGCACCTCCCTTATACAAAAATATCAACAAGAGAAGCTATTGTTTCTTGACATAGCCATCATCTAGGATTACATACTTTTGAAGGAACTGTTTCCATTTCTCTAACCCTTCCTTGAAGAATACTTAGCATTATCTGTGTATTGCACTTCCCCCCACCCCAAGTTAATATGTGTGTGCCCTCTAGCCAGTGAACTACTCTCCCTTCTCTCCCAAACATGGTACCCATCAAAGAAAGTTTGTTTTAGTATGAAAACCTTTTCTTGAGGTTTTACAATAGTGATCTCATACAATATTTATCGTTTTGTGATTGACTTAGCCCTCAGTTTACAGAACCCAGCCTAAGACATTTGGTATCAGTAGTGGTTATTAGAAGAACAAAATTGTAAGGCTCAGTTTTCTGAATAACATCTGAAGGGATAAAATCTGAACAAAAGAAATATGAAGGGGTAAAAATCAGGACTTTAGGGTGAATGAGGAAAGGTTCCCAACACAATTTTCATAAGATAGCCCTTGAGACCCTTGAAAAATGAACAGGTGCATTGTTGTGATGGAAACAATTCCTCAGTACATCTTCAGAATAAAGGCCTGTGATTGTCCAGTGTCCTTCTAGAAAATCTTATCAAGATTACCCCATTGGAGTTGAAAAAAACTGTCACCATGACCTTCTGAGTTGACCTCTCGACCTTGAGTTTAACTGGCCTTGGAAGCCTCTGTTTTAAGTGCACCATTTTTTTCCTGAGGGTACCCTAAGGAGACTAAGACAAGTATATTATTGAGAGAGCTTTTGTCTGCAGCCATTCAGTATTCTCTGAGATGTATTTAATCACGTTTTGTTTGGAATAAACCAGCACATGTATGAACTGAAATGCTAGTATCAGTACTTTTTTGAAAATCTTTTCATAAGGAAGCTCATTCATTAGTTGATGCTTTCGCTAGACCAAGTGGTAAACCAAACGTCAGATAATGATGAGTCAGTTGGAAGATCCAGAGCAAACAGAGACAGATCCAGTGAGTGGCAGCCTGACTCCAGTCAGCAGAATCGACTTAGGGCCCCTCAATCAATTCTCAGATTTGAGCTAATGTACAGAACCCAGCTTAAGGCAGAAAGCTTGCATTTTGCTTGACTTAGTATATACTCTGTGAGGAGCTCTGGTAGTTTAGGGGTTATGGTTGGATGCTAATCTCAAGGTCAGCAGTTTGAAACTACCAGCAGTTTCTCAGGAGAAAGATGAGACTTTCTGCTCTTGTAAATATTTACAGCCTCGGAAACCCTGTACAGGGTAGCTATGAGTCTGAACCAACTCCACGACACACAGCCACCACCAGTATACTCCCTATAAAAGTATTTCCATATGTATTAGGTTTTCTCCTGAGAAGTCATAACTCTCTGACTGTGAGCCATGAGTAATACAGTCCTTGACTTTTCCCCAAACTTCTATAGAGATTTCCATACTGCCTCATTACTCAGTGTGTCCTCAGTCTGCTGCAGTCTGCCTTTCATCTCCACCAGTTGCTCCTTTTGTGCTTTTCCTCCATTACCTTTGACAGCTGTTGAGTCTGTCACTTTTGTCCTTGATGAAACTCTGCACACCTTTCTATCATGACACATAAAAGAATTTTAATAGATGATGTGAACAGTCAATATCTCTGCTTCTTTAGTGCTTGGCACATAATAGGTGCTCAATAAATGTCTGTTATTCAGTCAATAAAGTATGCAACAGCCAGTAGCAGTGTCTCTCCCATTTTTTTTTTTTTTCCTTCCTATTTTTAATTGATGTCTCACTTAGAAACATTTAGGAAAAGCTCTAAACTAAAAAACATATAGAAAAAAATGCAAAATTTAATGTCATTAATATGTCCTTTTTTATTTTTAATTCAGAAAAATGTGATAAAGAAAATGCTGAGAAAGAGATAAGTCAAGCTACCAATAGTTGCTTCACACATGGAGAGATGCAGGACCAGTCCATTTGGGGAAATCATTCAGATAATCAACTCATCAGAAGTAAGTATTTTTAAAGAAAATTGGAATGCTTTGGGGATTTGTTAATAAAAATTTGTTGTCAGTTGTCACATATAATTCTGCTGTACCATAAATCAACAATTTATCAGACCTTTTTTTTTTATCGTTTTAAAATAATAGAGTTAAACTAGAATATAAATAATATTGTGTGTCAGCATTATCTTTTCTTTAGTAAGGACTAGCTGACCTGCAAATCTCTTAAGTCTTTTTTATTTTCAAGAAATGATTTTCTTCCCCTTTATCCTTCTTGCCTGACTGACAATGTAAGATCTAACTGAACATAATTTTAGAGAATTTATTTTTACATTATTTCATATGTTATATTTTGCATAAGTTCTTTTCAGTGTTGATTTCATCTACATTCAACTTTTTTCAGTAAGTTGTACTCTTTTTTTTTTCTTTCTTCTAAGATCCCAAGTGGATTGTTTTTAACCCCTTTTAAATTCTTTTAGCTAGTTTACAACTTGTAGACAGGAGACGAAGAGCATGCTTGCTGCCAGGCATTTCCACTCATTTTAATGACTCTTTTGACATAATTAACAGCTAAACCTTGAATGTGGTTTTCTTGTCGTTTTGACATATTACAGTAATTTTGACGTGTTGACTGTGGATATTTTTAGGCAAGATGCTTGTTTTGAGCAAGGTGAGACTTATACTTGACCAAATATATATATTTTTTGTCTATATATTAAACATATTTAAAGTAAGTATGAGAACCATGCTGTTTGGATGTAATTTATTCTTGTTAGGTGCTGTCATAGTGATTCCCTCTCATAGTGACCCTATGTACACAGAACAAAACCCTGCTCCATGCTAATAATTGTTGCTGTGACTGTGTCTGTTTATTTAACTGAGGGTCTTCCCCTTTAATACTAACTCTCTACTTCATCAACCGTGGTGTTTTTCTTCAGGGACTGGTGCGTCCTGATAACATGTCCCAAATACGTGAGACAAAGTCATGTTTTTCTTATCGGAGCTCTGGTAGCATAGTGGTTACGAATCGGGCTGCTAACCTCAGGGTTCGCAGTTCGAAACTGCCAGCTATTCCGCAGGAGAAAGATAAGTCTTTCTGCTCCCATAAAGATGTACAGCCTCGGAAACCCTGTGCAGGGTCGCTATGAGTCGGAACTGACTCCACGGCACATAACTACCACCACTAAGTAGCATTCTGGCTGAACTTTCTTCAAGACACATTTTTTTGAAAAGAACAAATTCATTTGGCAGTCCATGATTTGTGTAGTTCACCAACACCAAGAAAGTGACACGGCACAGGAGGCATTTACTCATCTCTGCCAAGAAATTTGGAAGACAACTATCTGGCCGACTAATTGGAAGAAATCGGTATTTGTGCCCATTCCAAAGAGAGGTGACCCAACAGAATGCGGAAATCATCGGTCAATCTCTTTAATATCCTATGCGAGTAAAGTTTTACTAAAGGTAGTACAGAAACGGCTGCAGGCATACATTGATAGAGAACTTCCAGAGGGTCAAGATGGATTCAAAAGAGGCCGTGGAATGAGGGATATCATTGCTGATGTCCGATGGATCTTGGCTGAAACAGAGAATACCAGAAAGATGTTTACCTGTGCTTTATTGACTACACAAAGGCTTTCAACTGTGGATTATGACAAGCTATGGACAATTTTGCAAAGTATGAGTATTCCAGAACACTTAATTGTGCTCATGAGGAATCTGAACCTGGACCAAGAGGCAGTTGTTTGAACAGAACATGGGAACACTGAATGTTTTAAAATTAAGAAAGGTGTGAGAAAAGGTTGTATTCTTTCATCATACTTATTCAACTTGTATGCTGAGCAAATAATCCGACAAACTGGGTTCCATGAAGAAAAACGTGGTATGAGGATTGGAGGAAGACTCATTAACAACCTGCGATATGCAGATGATATAACCTTCCTTGCTGAAAGTAAAGAGGATTTAAAACATTTACTGATGAAGATAAAAGAGCACAGACTTTGGTATGGATTACTGAAGAAATGTAAAGAAAACAAAAATCCTCACCACTGGACCAATAAACAACATTCTTATCAATGGAGAAAAGATTGAAGTTGTCAAGGACTTCATTCTTCTTGCATCAACGGATCAACTGTCAACATTCACATAAGCAGCAGTCAAGAAATCAAGTGATGTATTGCATTAGGCAAATCTGCTGCACAGGACCTTTTTAAAGTGTTGAAGAGCAAAGATGTCAGGTTAAGGACTAAGGTGCGCTTGACCCAAGCCATGGTATTTTCAATAACCTCATATGCATGCGGAAGCTGGACAGTGAATAAGGAGGATTGTAAAATAATTGATGCTTTTGAGTTATGGTGTTGGAGGAGAATATTGAAAGTTCCGTGGGCTGCCAAAAGAACCAAGAGATCTGTGTTAGAAGTGCAGCCAGAGTGATCCTTGGAGGCCAAGATGACCAAACTTTGTCTCTCATACTTCGGACATATTGTCAGAAGGGACCAGTCGCTCTAGAAGGATATGATGTTTGGTAAGGTGAAGGGTCAGAGAAAAAGAGGAAGACCCCCGACAAGATGGATTGGCCAAGTGGCAGCATTGATGGACTCAAGCATGGCAGCAGTAGTGATATTAGCCCAGGATCGGGCAGTGTTTCGTTCTGTTGTGCATAGGGTCGCTGTGAGTCGGTACTGACTCAATGACACCTAACAACAACCAATTTTTCTTTGGTCATTCTTATTTGTTGTTCAGTTTTTGCATACGTATGAGGTGACTGAAAATATGATTGCTTAGGTCAGGCTTACCTTAGTCCTCAAACTGACATCTTTGCTTTTTAATACTTTAAAGAGACCTTTTCTTGCAGATTTGCCCATGCAACCTGTCATTTGATTTCTTGTCTGCTGCTTCCATAAGCATTGATTGCAGACCCAAGTATAATAAAATCCATGAAAACTTCAGGCTTTTCTCTGTTTATTGTGATACTACTTGGTAGTTGTGAGGATTTTTTTTGTTTTTAATGTTGAGGTGTAATTCATGCTGAAGGCTGTAATCTTTGGTCTTCATCAACAGATGCTTAGAGTCCTTAGCTTTAAGCAGACAAAGCTGTCTCACCTTTATATTTCAGGTTGCTACTAAGTCTTCTCCATTCCCAATGCTATATTCTTCATATATTTGAACTTCTCAGATTGTTTTCGCAGCATACAGCTTGAATAAGTGTGGTGAAAGAATATAACCCTTACGTATCGCTTTCGTGATCTTAAACCAGGCAGTATCCCTTTGTTCTGTTGACCTTTTTACAGGTTCCTTTGGAGCACATAAGGACTTGAGTTTTTTTCCTTCCGTTGTTTTTTCTTCACCTTGAGTAATGTTCAAGCTTAAGTGTGTTCTTTCTTTTTTTTTTTTCCTGACTCCAGGTCTTTGAAAAGTTAGTTTATTTTATCTAGTGATAGTTAAGTACTCCATGACAAATATCCTTTGGTTTTTTTACATGTTTTATTGTGAATTATCTGATAGTTTACATGGGAGAACATTAGTTTTACATTCATCCTATTGTATATAGTTTCATTGCCATGGTTACAGTCCCCTCCATGCATCATTAACCAACCAAAGGGTATACATTACAAGCCTGCCCCCCAGTTGTCAACACACAGCCCCTCTCCCTCTCTGGGTCTAAAGTCCCCAGCCGCTCCTTCTCCACATCATAGTCTCTGCCTCCATCTCTGGAGTCACTGCTTCTCTGGGGTAGGATCCCGCTTTCTGCATGACAGATATCCTTTTAAAAATATATGAAACTGTATCTATGGAATAGAGTCCTGGTGTGGTGCTCTACAGTAAGTACTGGACCTAAAGGTCAGTTAGAACCTCAAGGTCGGTGGGTCAATCTCACCAGCTGCTCCTCAGAAACCCTATTTAGGTCGCTATGAGTTGGAACCAACTCGATGGCATATAACAACAATGCTTAGAATACTATTCTTCAGAGTTTTATTTCATTTTTTGACAGCTTCCAGTTTTCTTTGGTTCTTAATTTTGTACATTTCATGTTCCAGTTATTCGTGGACGTTAGCAGCTGCTTCTTCTCATTTTGAGACATGCCACATCAGCAAATGTAGCTACCAGAAACTTTATTTCATTGACATCATTGTGGTTTATCCTAGTATGAGGAGGCAGTTGTACTCCAATCTGAGGGGCCATTCTCCAGGACTATATCAGACAGTACTCTGATGTTGTTTTTACTGGTCACTCTTTCAGAAGTAGAGAGCCAGGTCCTTCTTCTTAGTCTGTCTTAAGTGTGGAGGCTGCATTGAAACCTGTCCACCATGGGTGACCTTGCTGGTGTTTGGAATACCAGTGACCTAGCTTCCAGCATTGCTGACAGAGGAGTAGTGAGATGCCCTGATTGGGAAATCGTTTATTTTAGCTAGTTGTGATAGGCAACTACTCCAGGACACAGATCCTTTAAAAAGATATGAAACATAACTGTGTTTATCTACTGTCTGAAACCTGTAGGAAGAGGTGCTAGAGAAATTTTGAACAACAGAAGTATTAGGGATAAGGGTTGCCTACTTAAGCTTACCTAAAATTTCAGAATTGGCTCATTTTTATCTTGAATTTGTTGGTAAATTTTTTAAGTTTTGGAAGGATTAGGCTACATCTTAACATGATTTTATCGATAATCATAGAAGGTGGAAAAGAACTTACAGACCTTATTATGTATATTGATAACCATTTTACAGATGAAGGAATCGAGTCTGAGAGAAGGGAAGTTATTAGCAAAAGACTGCATAATTACTGGCATAATCAATACTGGATCCACCACTCTCAAAAAGGCGAGCTGCTCATTGTTTGACATTAAAGTCATTGTTGTAACAACTTTTTTGCCAATTCAGTTTTCTACTGTTGTATGACTTAACTGACAGCTATTACAGTAATCTGCTATGCAGGCCTGCCTTTAATCAATATGATCTTTCCATCACTGATCATTGGTACAAGTTCTTGTTTAGATAAGGAGCGAATGCTAG